TATAAAACATATACATATGTATATAAAAACCTTAAAGTTTGTTATTCAATATTATTATACATAAAAATAAAATAATTATTAAGTTAATAAAAAGATGGCTTTATATCATAAATTTAATTATTATAAGCATTTAGCTCGCAATAGAATTTTTTTTTTTAACAATACGCACAACACACAATATTTAATTCCATATAATAATTTAAATATGCATATACAACTATAGTTTAAAAGGAATTCATACATCGGGATATATACTTACTTTGAATGCATGTAATCTATGGCGGAGGCCAATTGTTTAGCAATGCGCTTGCTGTACACCTCGCCCACACCTGTCTCGGTCACATTTGAAGAAAAAAAACCTGCAGAACAAATTCAAAATACCCTGTAAATACAGCTTAGCAAGCGGGCTAGAAAAAAACATACCCAGTGGTGCATATTCCTGGGTGAAGACGTAGAAGCCAGCCGTCTCAAAGGCCACGTCGTACGTGGTCACAATGTGCCGATGGACGCCCAGATGGAGTCCGTAATGAAACAAAAAAAAGAAGTCGCGCAAGGTGACATACGGTTTGGGAACTGCCTTGAGCACCATTTCAGTCTGAGATCCGCGATGTTCCACCAGCAGTATTTTGCCAAACCAGCCCTCGCCCACAATTTGAATGATATCGAATTCATCCACCAGTTGGATCTGAGCGCAGCCAAAAATATTAAGAAATTAGTTTAGTTTGCCTTGCTTTGCTGCTTTGTTTGCATGTGCTTTGGGTTATAACAGATGTTTAGAAAAAAACCCAAATACTACAATAACTGCACCTCCATGACACGGTTCGATAATTGCCCAATAAAAAAAAATATATGGTATATACATATATATATATATATAAACATACATACATATATCGCAGAAAAAAAACCAGACATATTTAATGTTACTCTATTTTTGACATTCGCCGTTTGCTGCCCAATAAAATGAGTTCGTTTTCCTCTACTTTGCCTTCTGGCTCGGGCCGCGTTAACTATTAGCTGAGCGAAGAGATTTCTGGCCGTCTGCCAATCGAAACAAAATTCACAATTTATAGCCTAACCGAAGCTCGAATGCCCTATATAGGACAATTCAATTTGTGTGGAAATAAATCTTTCAATAAAAATAAAAAAAGAACTAAAAAAAAAAAAAAACTATGTCAAAATGCAAATCATAAATGAAAACAAATAAAAATCTAATATAAGTTTAATTATTTGCAATTTCAAATAATTATCAACAATTGTGTGCAAAGAAAATAAAACATAAGCCAAAACACGTGTCCTACATAATAAAGAGAAATTCTATTATATTTTGGTTTTCATTCGTTTTCAAATCCCATTCAAGCGTATTCAAAATATTTTGTATTATTTGAATTACTGCGAATGCAAAATGTTTCTCTTCGGCCAATGGATTGAGTCAATACATTTATATGTTGCCCTGTCTGATTATTCATTTATCAATCTTTCCGTCTGATTATTACGCTTCTCATACTTTGTTTTACGCAATTTTATTGCAGACTAATGAAAGCATAAGGAAGCTCAGACGCACAATGGTAGACAATATGTATAGAATAGATTTTATTGCATATATGCTGTATGTGTATAGGTATGTATATATAAATATATTGAAATTCTATATGTATGTGCTTAGTTGCTGTGATATCAATCAGTCATAAATTAAATTATGAACGAGATATTTTTTAATGTTTATTATGTATTATTATATTTAACAGATTGATAACCAGCAGGAATGTTGTCTTTAAACATTTTGTAAGCATTTCTGTTTTTTTTTTTTTTTAAGATTTCATATACATATACACACATATATAAATTTATATATATATTTTT